TTTCCCTATTTGGAATATGTAATAAATTGTTTCTGATTAAATACTCTGCGTTCAGGAACCAAATTGGATAATTGTTAGGTCAACAAATAAAAATCTATGCAATGATACCCTTCACGTGTGATGCAATGGGATATGCTTGTAAATCTTTCTCATTTTATAGCACTGATGGCCCATACATGTACGTGGAAAAGTTCTGAAATGTAGATATTGTGCCTTATGGGTGCTTCTTTTAGAGGAAAAAAAAGGAAATTGAATGCTTATAGTTTTTGCATTGTAGATTGGTTACATTCCCTATTGCACATGCCTCAGAATTTGCATTTTGAAGCACCACTGTAGAGTGGTAATTTTCCCTAAGAAGCTGTTGCAAGCAATGATATTTAAGCATATTTCCAAATAGTTGTCCTTTTAGGCCTTGTTATACTCTGGAAAGAAGTGTTTTCATTTTATTTTTTAATCAATAATACTCTCTTTTGTCCTGGTCTGAAAATCAAAGTAGTTTCATTGTCCCCATTTTATAATTATGTTATTTTAGGCTAATAGCATATCTTGTTCCATGTTTCTTTCTGATTTATCTCATAAGAATTTCAGTGTTGGGGCCAGGCACACATGCTCTTCATTTGTTGTCATTTTATCCTAAATCTTGTTCTTGCATATTGTGCATATACTTCTGATGAGTTCTTTTAGGCAGTATCTATCTCCAATCTACGCATAATACCTTCTGATGTTGGCATATAGCAAAATAAGTGTTTTCTTATTTATTTTTAGTTTTGCTAGGTGATATTTCAACCTAATTGCAATGCTGACCACCACTTTCGCTCAAAGCTTACGTGGCACGTAATGCTATAAACATCTTTCCTTGCTATCTTAAATTCAGAATTACACTCAGTAACAGTCTATTACGTTTTTTTATGTTCCTTATTGTAATTGCATAGAGAGCAGCATAATTAGTTCCCCAGTCAAAATAGGTGAACCCATATCTTCACTGGCCAAAAATGGAGCAACTTGTTCTTCTCTGAATCTTCAACCAGGTGCCGCCACAGATGCAAGGAACTTGCAGGGGTTTTTAAATAAGCATTTAAATGGAAATCATTCAATACAAAAAGAAATGTCGGCTGCCCTTCAAACGTCATCAGACCCAGCAAAACTTGTGTTGGATGAGATTCAAACATCTTTTGCTCAATACTGGAGAAAAGGAGATGTTGGTTTCAATGAAACTTTCATGTTTAGTAACATTGCCCTATTGGAGGAGCTAATGAGGGTCTCACGGCATGTCGGACCTCATTTGAAAGAAGATGCAATAAAGCTAGCAGAGCAGTGGAAAGCAAAAATGAGAGCTGACACTCAAAATTCATTGGAGAGTTTGGGATTCTTGCAGTTTGTAGCTACATATGGGTTGCTCCCTACTTTGAATGGAGATGAGATTAATAAGCTTCTTGGGATGATTTATCAGCATAAACAGGCTCTAGAATTATGTCTTACGCTTGGTTTTGCAGATAAGATCCCTGGTAAGTTTCTTGAAAATTGGCTTTCATATATAGTGTGCTGTTTGTGCTTCATTTACTATTACCCATTTATTTCTTGGTATGCGATTTAATTTTGTGCAATTTATAGTATTTTGGCTAAAGTTGTTTGTAATTACAGTATCGTAGATTCCATTCGTGTGCCCCTTGTGTAAGGGTGATACAGTTATCTTTGGGTTTCAAAGGATAGTTATTTTTCGGTTGGTTTTATACCCTGTCAGGAGAGCTAATGGGTTGAATATTAGCAAATGGCTTGAAGATGATTAAGAAAACTAAGATAAACTTCATGAGACAAGATAAGGTATAGAAAAATTCACAAGGAAGTGAAATAAGTCAAAGATGTTTTACAGACTGGTTTTGACTGCTTTTATGGTTACTTATTATATATTGTAAGCTCACGTGTAATAATTGTTGTTCAGACTGGAGAAATGTGTCCCTTTGTTGGCTTGGCATTTAGTTTGTTGGAATTGTGTACCTTCCTAGGATGATAGTTTCGTTACTCATGTCTTTTTCTCCCTGGTATCATGTTTTCCAGCATACTTATGATTGGTGTTTGAGTTTCTTCTTTTGTATCTTAAATATGATTTCTTTTGTTAATGCATTTACTTATAGTAACTTCTTTAAGTTTGGGTCGTGATACCATGCAATTCTCCTTTTGAAATTTCTCTGGAACAGTATGATGAATCATGCAATTTGGTTTTACATGCAACAGATTTTATTCAGAATCTTATTGAAAGGAAGCAACTGTTTGAGGCTTTTAGGTTTATTTGCACCTTCAAGGTAAATGACAAGTTCTCCTCGGTACCACTCTTAAAAGAATATGTGGAGGGTGCAAGGAAGTCTTACAGGACAGCATGGAGGAAAAAGAAATCACTTGATGAAAAGGTACACTCACTCTTCTTTGGACATATCCGATAGCTGCTTCTTAATTTGTTGAATCTAGGGCCATCCCATTGTAAATCTACATCTATCAATGCTTATTTTCGCTCACAGAATGAGGTTGTAGACCACCAAATAGCTGATCTAAGAGCTGTGATTCAATGCATCAAAGATTACCGCCTCGATTCTGAATACCCATCCAAGGACATCGAAATACAAATAGTTCAGTTGGAGAAAATGAAGGAGAATTGGAGAAAAATGGCGAAATCTCTTGGCTCTAAGGCTGAACAAGAGGAGAAATCTCTTGGCTCTATACCTGAACAAGAGGAGAAATCTCTTGGCTCTATGGCTGAACAAGAGGAGAAATCTCTTGGCTCCAAGGATGATCAAGGGGAGAGACCTCTTGCCGCCATCCAGGTTGAACAAGAGGACAAAGCTCTTGCCTCTAAGGAGAAGAAACCTAGTACCAGCACTTCTGTCTCCAAGGTTGAACAAGAGGATAAATCTCTTGCCTCCCAGGAGAAGAAACCTGATACCAGCAATTCTGTCTCCAAGGTTGAACAAGAGGATAAATCTCTTGCTTCCCAGCAGAAGAAATGTAGTTCTATAATTTCTGCCTCCAAGGTTGAACAAGAGGATAAGTCTCTTTCCTCCCAGAAGAAGAAACGCAGCACCAGAACTTCTGCCTCCAAGGCCGATCAAGAGGAGGAAAAAGAGAAGAAATGCAGCACCAGCACTTGTGCCTCCTCCAAGTTTGAACAGAGACAACAGAGTAAATATAAACGCCCTCGGACATCTGCTACACCCTATGCATTGCCAACTTTCCCTCGTGGCTATCTGCAGCCAAGTTCGTCCTTATTGCCGAATGGAAATTATGGACACCATGGACATTTTTGAAAGATTATGAGCAAAGCCACACTCACTTATTCATTGAGTTGTGCAAACAAAAGGAGACAAAAAGTCCCTAATACAAGGAAATAGAGTCCAGGAAACATGAGTCCGGACTATCAGGTCCATAACCTAGGAAACATAACTGTAGGTATTGGGGTCTATCAATTTTGGTATAGCTTCCGTGCCGAATGCTGGAATGCAGCACTAGTATCTGTTCTTGCCCAACCCTCCTGTATATGGCTATTATTAAATCTAGTACGAAGCTTGAACCTGCCATACATGCTGCTAACTTTGAAGGACCAATGTGCAGTGCTGATTGTGTTGATGGCACAACTTTGGCAGGTTGAAGGTAGACTGCCTGCTTTATTTTTGTTTTTGTTGTTGGTTTTCCTGAGTTGCATTGCTTTCATCTTGGAGAAGCCAAGTTCTTGTATTTTGACTGACCGACTTTATTGTAGAAATGTTTGACTGAGATGGAGGACTCCTAATATTGAAAAATCTTAATGCTCTTTTCAGATCAGCGTAAGCCCAATCTTACTAACTTATCCAAAACAGAAGCTCATTCATTCAAAAGACCCATATGTTTTCTTGTGGGGAAACTTATACTTCTCGTGTATATATATTTTTTGTTTTTCCTGTTATTCAGTAGATAAATTTACTGAGAGCACATTTGAATATGAAAACAAAAATGTAAATTTGGAAATCAAACAAAAAATATAAAAAATTGAGAAATAATAAAGTTTGGATCTTTATTTAAAATAATTGAATGTGTAGTGTTTATATTTTTTTATGATCACAAAAAATATCATATAGATATAATAATGAAATACATGCTGACAAGTTACAACTAAAAGAGGCCAATCTTCTGCAAATTAAAAAAAACTGAGGCCCCTTTTTTTTCTGCCAAATAAAATAAAAACCTAAAAGACTGAATTTCGAACATCACCTACCTACATTATTTTCCTTTATTTATTTATTTTGGGATTTCGAATCACATGTTTTGCCTGATTTTAGGCCACGGTTTTATTTTCCCCAAATTGCAATTGCAAATTTGCAACAGTGAGAAACGCTTGCTAGTGGCTCTACTGTGTGAAGGTAACGACAAAAACCCAACCAATCCAGCCAACCAACCAAAAGGAAAAGGAGCTCATAAGAAGGGCATGTCATAATCGAATCAATTAAAAGAAGGGTTATTTTATTTTATTTTATATAATTATTATTTTATAATCACAAATGGTGTTTGAGGTTTGCGAAATTATCATTTTTGGTTTTTTATGTGTTTTTATGACATTATTGGTCCTTATATTATATTTCACACATCAATTTGCTCCCTCCCATTAATTACCGTCAAAATTTCTGTTAAATTAATGATGTGACACGTATATGGTACCAACATATCCAATAAGATAATACCATATGGATCTAAATAAAAAATTATGTTTTAAAAACAGTTTCACATTCAAAATTTAAATATATTTATATTTATATTTTAATGTTGAAGAAGTTACGAAGGGACTTGCAAAAATCCTTTTTTTTTAATTTTAAATTTTTTAAATGTGAAACTATTTAAAAATATATATTTTTATTTAGATCTACATGATATTATCTTATTGGATATATGAATGCCATATTATCAATTTAACAGAAATTTTAACGGAACCTAATGAAATGACCAAATTCTTGTATGATGTGTAATATAAATGACCGATAATGTCAGAAAAAAATATAAAGGATTAAAAGTGATAATTTTGCAAACTTATGGACTATTTGTGATAAAAAGGGCTAGAAAGACCAAGAAGATATCACTGGCTGGAAAGACCCATTCTGTTTCATTTACGATGGATGGACACGTGGCAACTTGGATGCCGTCCAGATGAAATTTGTAAAGTCATGGAGATTGCCCATTTTATAGAATCACAATCACCTGCATGGAACGACAGTGCTTGTGACTTGTGAACTTGTGAGCTTGTGAGCTTGTGAGCTTGTGAGCTTCAGAGCTTGAGGGCCGCTGGAGATTGAAGAAGAAGAAGAAGGAGAAGAATCTTCGGCCTACTTGTTCCCTAAGTTCATTGCAAGAGAAAATCTGGAAAACCCAACCCAAGGTATGTCACATGAGACCCTCATTCATTCTCTCTGTCAATCTCGTCTCCTCTGTTTTAGGGTTTTCAGAAAAAGGAAGCGTCTTTTACTTGTACTAGCCACCACATCCACAACCAGGGTTTTCTATTTTCTAATGCGGCTCTCCCCTGTTACTCTGTTTTGGGGTTTTGAGAAAGCTCTCTGTCACTCTCGTCCCTGTCCGTACAGCTACAACAAAGCTCTAAGCTTTTATCATTTTCTTCAACTTTTTTCACTCTCCGCCGTTCTCCACCGCCACGACTGGCCATAACCGTTACTAGTGTTTTCTTTCAGGAGGTACAGTAGCGAAGTAAGTAACAATGGAGCGGACAACACCTGATTTGGAAGAATCGGAAATGAAGCAGAGTAAGCTCAAGCTCACCCTGATGTGGAAGGACCTTTTGGAGCACATTGACTTCACCAGGAAGGATCAGGAAACCCAATTTGGCATCCTTGAGAACCAGTTGGAAGCCAAAGCCAACGAATTGGATGGAATTGACAAGTTGCTACAAGAGAAAGTAAAGGAGGTCGAATCGAGTAAGCAGCACTTGTGCTCCCTTCAGTTACTGATCCAAGAACATGAAGAAGAGCTTTCTCTGAAAGAGAAGCAATTCTCGGATGTTCAGAGATGCGTTGGAAACAAGGAGAGGGAGTGTGAGTTAATTGAAACACGTATTCAAGATCGAACAAAGAGATTCCAAGAATGTGAAGAAGAGCTTTCTTTATTAGAGAATCGATTCTCGGATTTTGAGAGATCGGTTGGAGAGATGGAGAGGCACTATGATGTAATGGGGAAACGTATTCAAAATCGAGAAAATCGGTTGAATTGGCTTGAGAAAACCGTGGAAGAGAAGTCGAAATTGGTTGAGTGTAGGAAGAAGGAACTGAAAGTCATTCGTGCACAGCTGGACAAGTGCTCCCAGAAGATTGAGTTGAAAGAGAGGCAATTCAATGAGATTCTGGGGTCAATTGAGGAGCAGCAGGAAGAATTTTCTTTTAAAGAAAAGCAAATTAAAGCGGCACAAAGATCAGTTGATAACTGTGACAAAGAGATAAAATTGAAAGAGGAGAAACTTAGTTTGATTCAGAAATTGATAGTGGACTGCTCTAATACACTCAAATCGAGAGAGAAAAGTATTAGGGCAATGGATTTGAAAATGAAAGATTTTTGTTTGCATAAAAAGACAATGGAGGAGTGGTCCTGTAAACTTGAACTGAGAGAGAAACAGTTTGAGTCAAAAGTTGACGATCTCAATAACAGGATCAACGAATGCCTCAATGAGGTTCAGTTGAAAGAAAAGCATTTTGATTCAGTTGAAAATTCGATACAGGAAAGCGAAAAGCATTTGGATTCGCAAGAAAAGTCATTACAAGAATATTCCAATGGACTTGAAATGAAAGAGAGGCAACTTCAGGAATGGGCCAAAGAAATTGAATTGAAAGAACAACAAATTGATTCAATTCGAGCGTCCACTGAAGACCACACCCAAAATCTGGAGTACACCCCTGCCAGTATTATCGCAGTCCCTTCTTCCTCAAGTAATCAATCCAGCATGAAAAGGGATGGTAGAGGCTTGCAGTTGCTCATGAATGAGCATTTGAAGAGAATTGCCTTATTGGCAAGCGAAATGTTTGCTCATCTTAAAGCATCATCAGACCCAGCAGAATTGGTTTTAGATGCAATGGAAGGGTTTTACCCTCCAAATTTGGGTGCGGACAAAATGAAGTTTGATTTTGATCTGACAGTTATTAGAAGGAGTTGTGTTCTTCTGTTACAGGAGTTAAAGAGGTTGTCACCACAGATTAATCATCAGGTGAGAGAAGAAGCAATTAAGTTGGCGGCTGATTGGAAGGCTAAGATGATGGTGGCAGCTGAGAATAGTTTGGAGATTTCGGGGTTTCTGTGGCTGCTTACGGCATATGAATTGACCTCTACTTATAATGCGAGGGAACTTCAAAGTCTTCTTGCTATAGTTGCTCAAACGGAACATGCAACTGAACTACGCCAAGCCCTTGGCATCACAGAAAAAGCACCTGGTAAGCTCTTTAGTATTTATTTTCCATATTTATATCTGAGTTTCTTATTTTATCACTCTCTTTGTTTTTTGATACACACACGCACGTAGAATAATTCTCTAAAGTGCACCATCCCAAACTTGATTTTCTGATTAAACTCTCAATGTTTGGAGGAGGGTCGTGTGGGTTAATTTGTCATATATTATTTAGCCTTGTTAAGTCAATAAATCAACCTCTATATTAGTACATCAATGCCCTTTACATGCTATAGGAAGGGAAAAAATAAGAAGAAAAGTTGAATGCTCTTATATTTGGTACATTGGTTATGTTCCCCATCGGGCATGCCTTTAATTGCAGAGTAGTCATTTACTTTAACAAGTTGTTGAAGGCAATGAGTTTTAGCCCTTGTCATGTTCTGCAAAGATGATATCTTATATGGTAGACAATTTTTACATTTTATCTTTTTAGTACGTAAATAGTTTGTCATTTTTTTCTCGTCTGAAAAAGTAAACAGTTTCATTTTAACCTCTGTAATAAATCTGTGGTTTAAGGCTTTTAGCATCTCATGTTGCATGTTATGTTCTCATTTATCTGATGAGAATCTCAGTGGAGATATGTGGCAGTGGTTCAACATATGCTCATCTTTTGATACCATTTCATCCTAGATATTTTAGCATCTCTATTTCTGATTTGCACATAATACCATCTGATGCCTGACATATGCAACACAATAAATTTTTTAATTAAGTTTAGTTTTTCTTGTTTAGATTTGAACATAAAAGCTATAACCACTCTCACCCTACTGCTTACCATTTGAGTCAAAGCACGAATGGCACATAATACTGTAAATATATTTTGATATGTTAAATTCAAAATTATTCACTTACCAACCTGTGTACTGCCTTTTCTTTGTTTATTTTTGCAATTGTATAGCTGGAAACAGAGTTTCTTTCCCTGTCAAAACTGAGGAACCAGAATCCTCACCCGTCAGAAATGTAGCAACTTCTTCTTCTCCAAATCTTCAACTAGATGCCATAACATATGCAAGGAATATGCAACAGCGTCTAGATGAGCATTTTAGTGAGAATAATTCGGTACAGAGCAAAATGTTTGATTATTTACGAGTGTCAATTGACCCAGGAAGACTTGCTCTGACGATGATGCAAAAATCTCTTTCTGAATACTGGAGAAAAGGAGGTCTCGAAGCAACTGTCATGATGAAGAACATCTCCATGTTGGAGGAGCTAGTGCAAGTCTTGCCGCATGTTGGATCTCATGTGAGAAAAGATGCAGAAGAGCTAGCGGTCAAGTGGAAAGCAAAAATGAGAGCCAATACTGATAATTCATTGGAGATTTTGTGTTTTTTGCAATTTATAGCTACATATGGATTGGTTTCTACCTTCAATGTAGATGAGACGGTAAAGCTTCTTGGGATGATTTCTCAGCATAAACAGGCTATAAAATTACATCAGACACTTGGTGTTGCAGATAAGATCCCTGGTATAAGTTTCTTGAAAATTGGCTTTCATACAAAAGCTTACAGGGAAAACATTTTAAATTGTTAATGCATCTTCTATAGTAACTTCTTTAAGTTTGGGCGGTGATACTGTGGAATTTTCCTTTTGGAACTACTCTGGATCAGTTTGATGAATCTTATAATTTTTGTTTTGCACATAGCAGATTTTATTCAGAATCTTATTGAAAGGAAGCAACTCATTGAGGCTATTAGATTTATCTTCACCTTCAACTTAATCGACAAGTTCCCGCCAGCACTACTCCTCAAAGAATACATGGAGGGTGCATGGCAGTCTTTCTGGACAATTTGGCTGGCAAAAGAATCACTTGATGAAAAGGTACCTTCACTCTTATTTTCACATCCAATAGCGCTCCTTAAATAGTAAAATGTAGGACCATATTTTCTGCTCATATTTACATCTATCAAGGCTTATTTTTGCACACAGAATAAGGTCGTAGACAAGCAAATGGCTGATCTAAGAGCTGTGATTCAATGCATCAAAGATTACAACCTCGAGTCTGAATACGCATCCAAGGACATTGAAATACAAATTGTTGAGCTTGAAAAGCTAAGGGGTACTTGGAGACATTCTAGGAGACCCTATGCCTTTGAACAAGAGCTGGAAAAAAGGAAGGAAAGTAGTAGCAGCACTTCTGACACCAGATTTCAACCACCAGAGAAACGTCAAGCCATAGCAGCTGCTAGACCCTGTGCATCGTCAACTTTCACCCGTGGCTATCCGCAGTTAAGTTCGTCATCTCAGCTGCGGTATGGACATCCTGTGCAGTTTGACATGGCGGCCAATGACCATGAAGCTGCTGGTGCTAACTTTGGTGCCATGGAGTTAAGTCTGTCATCTAGGCTGCATTCTGGACACCCTGAGCAATTTAGTATGGCTGCCAACGTCCGCGAAATTGGTGCTAATTTTGGTTGGATGCCATTAAGAATGTCACCTCAGCTGCTTGAAAATGATGCACACCCTGCACGGTTTCGTGTGGCTGCTAGTGACCATGAAATTGGTACTAATTTTAGTGCCACGCAGAATGCTGGGTTACTTCACCCTCATCACTTGTTTCCCAGCCCTCATAGTTATCACCCTAATTGAATCTAATAGGAATCTTCCACGCATGCGAACTTTAAAGGACCAGTTTACATTGGCATTCTGAAAATCCATCCCCAGTGTACAGTTCTGATTATAATCTTACCATCCCTGCCCAGCTTTGGTAGGAGAAAGCACTTATTTTCACAGAAATGGAGTGCTTGGGATGTTTTGAAATCATCAATATTCGTAAAGCAATTTGAAAACATTAATTAATATACGTAACTAATGCACATTTGAAAACATTGTTGTCGGTTTCCCATCAAGGCCGAGGGGGCTAGGGTTTCTTTCAGACAATCGAAGGCCCAAGGTTAGGATCTCTCTAGAAAATCAAGGCCCAGGGCTAGGGTTTCGATAGAAAACCAAGGCCCGAGTTTATGGTTTGCTAGAGAAACTTTTGCTTCTGTCTGTTTCTAGGAATTCATTTCTACTTACTTTCGCGCGATCCGATCTTCTAGAGAAAGACAGATGCTAGCTTTCTGAGAATTACTAGCATCGTTTGGGTTTAGGGCTCTTGGATGGCAAAGGAGAACGAAGCGGCTTCGCAGGCCACCGTCAATGGCGACAATACACTCACGAGCTCTCTACGATGCCGTCCATAGGGGTGAGCACCGTTACCCTATCTTTTTGTTCGCACATTTTTCCTGTACTAATTCTAGGGTTTTGTAGATCGCAAGAGGATGTGTTTTTGCTTAGGAAAACGACGGTAATGGCGAGAATGTACGAGGTCTCGATGTTGCCGTCCGAGGGTTCCTCATTCTCGGCGTGATAATAGACTTGTGTTAATAAGGGTGAGCATCTTTGCCCTATTCTTATGTTCACACCTTTTCTTGTATTAATTCTAGGGTTAGAAGAACGCATAGGGTTTCACTACACGCAGTGATACCTGATTGGCTTCAAATTAATAGTTGTAGAAATAATAGCATTGAAACAATAAATGAAGTTTATGGAGTGGAGTCGAATTAGGGTTCTTCAATGTAGGGGTGCACCAGATGCATTTTTTAAATATTTGGTATCACAGAGAGCAGAGAGCGTTCTTCTGATCACCAACTTCATATCCGCCCTTATATTTCCAACTTTATCTCGACCCAGAGTGAAAAAAAAAATGGGAAAAGGGAGAAAAACCATTACAGTATCTGCATCTCAAGTATAGTTAATTTTCTGCTGAATCCAAATTTAAGTTTCTTTGAGCTCATTGCACAAACTATATATTTTTTAAAGAGGTTTTGATTTTTCATTTTCTTTTGTAGCATGTGTTTGAAAAAACATATGAATCTGGACTTTGGTTTCAAGGAAAGTCACTTTCTAAATCCCTTTCTGCAAAGGATGCTCCAAAAAATTTATCGTACAGGCACGATTATTTTATACTACCACCACTTGTTCCTGTTTCTTTACAATGTGTAGAATGATCTTATGTCTGCTCTTTAAGTGAGCTACCCTTTAAGCCTTATGATAGTTTCTTATGTCTTAAACTTTAAAGCATAACAAGATGTGGTACTTCTGTAGAATTCTGTTACAAGCCCGTGGGAAGGAAAAGAGAAGCCTTAGTAAAAGGACCTTCATCCTTCCATTCAGATTTTTCCTCTCTCACTCACACACACACACGCAGACAGTGACATTTCAATGCATATTTAGACTTTGTAAAAATATTCAATTTATCAATTAAACCAAACCATTATTTATGTAGGATATTAACCCTGCATCCCTTAAGCATTTCATTCAACTTCCTAGAGTTTGTTAGGGGTAACTGAAAGAACCTTTGGGTTTGAGTTATTCAAATAGATCCTATCTTATGTACTTCATTTTTATTCTTTTTAAGTTTTTAACTGTGACTAGGGATGGGCAATGGACACCCATGGGTACTAACCACCACCACCACCTAATTGGTATCCATTTGGGCCAATGGGTAACCCGTTGCCCATCCCTACCTACTTTACAAGTGGTGCCACAACACAGGGACAAGTATGATTTGATGGAAGTGTAATTTCCAAAATTCACACGAATGACAAAAAAAACGCTGGTCTCTTTGCATTGCAGGCTCAAAATATAGCAAGGAATCTGCAATTTGGGTTTGATTTATTTTTAAAGATCTTGACCTTTAGCCTATTACAAATTACTTTAAACCTTCTATATGATAGAATTTTACCACTCATCTTTAGGACTGTAGTACAAAATCGACAATGTTGGCTTTCGTGATCTGCAGAGATCCGTATCTGTGCTCTTCTTCTTTTGTGTGTCTGTGTGAATGCTCAAACATCCAGTTTCATATGTGACGCATATCAAACTTTAGTTGATTGCATAACATGAATTTATAGTAATATATTTTATTCATTTCCTAACATGATTTTGATAAGATATGCATGATGAGAAGACTGTCTTTTGCAGCACAGGATTATATCTTAGTTGTAGAGCAGAGTAACTGCACCGTGATGTCAAAATAGACAGTTATAATTGTATTTCCGTGTATTGGCAGGTATTCTTTTTGGTAGTAAAATGTTGTTTAAAATGAAGTTATGAATATACAAGTGTAGTAATAGAGTATTTTAAAATGTTTCTTCAGGATTTGTGTTCTGGTTTGCGATCTTTAACATTCAGTGGTTATCACACACCAAATGTTCATCCTATGAGTTGCAGTAGTTCTATGTTCTTTTTTGTTATTGACATAACAAACTGTTCTTCTCATCATTCCCACTTGTGGCATTTTAATGTAAATTTTTTTTATTCTATGGTTTTTTTTTTATATCCTTTTATATTGCTAGCTTTCGAGTTTGTCCACATTTTAAAGACATTATTCGTTCTTGAAATGCCAGCGCTGGAGTCTGTTACTGTTAGCCTTTTATTTTGTAGGTAATTTTTTAGGCTTGATATTTCATCTAGAGACGGGCAATGATGTTTTTTGTTAGTTAGTTCGTTAGTGTGACACTTATGTTTGTTTGTTGTGTCGTACACTTGCACATTCTGTAGTTATGCTTTGGTTCAACTTATTATTTTGCACACTGACCATCTGGTTTATTTCCGTCTTATTCCAATTGTTATTATTTCTGATGGTTCTGAGTGCTTTATTAATTGTTTAACTGTTTTTTTCCCAGGATATCTAAAACCAGAGGCTACGAGGATTTCGCCTCAAATTTCCTTTTTGTTTTTTTAACTAATTTGATCTAATTTCAATCAAAACAAGTCTGTATAATATCAATTCTTTTATTTTTTTTATTTTGATTAAATTCTTTTATTTGAGTGATGCGGATTGTAGTTTTTACTTGCATTGTATGCATGGTTTTCTTTTTCTTTTGTTAGTCATTAGAACATAGATTAGGCCCAAATATTTGTTGGATCGATACTACAGGGGAGCTTCTACAGGGAGCCTCTAGTTTAAGAGGCTTTTACGTCTTTTTGTGACCCTGCTTTGGGCTTAATTTGTAGTGGCCCTCTATTAGGCCCACTTTGAAGTTTTTTGGCCCCACATTGGGCCTACTTGTCGTTCAATAGCGCTTCATTGGGCCTATTACCTTTATGGACTTCCTAGTGGGCCTTTTTGATCGAATATGGGCCATTCATTAGCACAATTTAGTAATGCGGGTCTGAAGTATCGATCCAACAAATATTTGGGCTTAATTTATGTTCAAATGACTAACAAAAGAAAAAGAAAACCATGCATACAATGCAAGTAAAAACTACAATCCGCATCACTCAAATAAAATAATTTAATCAAAATTTAAAAAAAATAAAAGAATTGATATTATACAGACTTGTTTTGATTGAAATTAGATCAAATTAGTTAAAAAAAACAAAAAGGAAATTTGAGGCGAAATCCTCGTAGCCTCTGGTTTTAGATATCCTGGGAAAAAAACAGTTAAACAAGTAATAAAACAATGAACCATCAGAAATAATAACAATTGGAATAAGACGGAAATAAACCAGATGGTCAGTGTGCAAAATAATAAGTTGAACCAAAGCATAACTACTGAATGTGCAAGTGTACGACACAACAAACATAAAACATAAGAAAGCGTCACACTAATGAACGAACTAACAAAAAACATCATTGCCCATCTCTAGATGAAACATCAATCCTCAAAAGTTACCTACAAAATAAAAGGCTAACAGTAATAGACTCCAGCACTAGCATTTCAGGAAAGAATAATGTCTTTAAAATATGGACAAACTCGAAAGCTAGCAATATAAAAAAAATTCGTGTTAAAATGCAACAAGTGGGAATGATGGGAAGAATAGTTTGTTATGTCAATAACAAAAAAGAACATAGAATTACTGCAACTCATAGGAAGAACATTTGGTGTGTGATAACCACTGAATGTTAAAGATCGCAAACCAGAACACAACACCCTGAAGAAACATTTTAAAATACTCTATTACTACATTTGTATATTCATAACTACATTTTACTACTAAAAGAATCCCTGCCAATACACGGAAATACAATATATCTTCCAGCTTTTACACAATCCAAAGGTATTGTCGACAACAGATTAACAAATGAACGATAAACTACTGTGAAAAATTATATCAAATTAAGCTTGATATGTACCAACTACAACTAGGAAATATAACAGAACAACCGAGAGAGAGAGTGAATAGATTTATAACTGCCAATCTATCCTCAGTATATATTTGACAATGTGGGCGGATAAATTTTAGTCCTATGAAATTTACTGCTTCAAATGTTATTTCCATGGTAATAACCTATAAACATTGCTTGGGTGCATAGATGCAAAGCAAATACGGAGAACTTCTGAGACTCCTTGCAGTCTCATCCTAACTTGAAAAGTGGAGAAGGGGAGAGTCTAATTAAAACACTCAGATTACTGACATTGCCTAGAACATTGTGTGCAACAATATTTGAATAATGCACTAACCCATTTATGATTTTTCACGTTCTAATGTCTTCCACCTCATGTTACATTGAAAGTAAGAGAAACCCCATCATCTGATGTTCTCTTTTTGTCGGAACATCAAGTTGTTGAACAGTCTAGTTATGCATGGATCAATGGATCAATGGCGGGGTTTTTGAACGTTTAGAGTTCTTCTCTCTCTCTTTCTCCCTAGCTAATCCAAGTGATGGGTTTTTGAACGTTTTTTGAGTGGGTTTTTTTATATCTTGAGGTAGGTGAAAAACGTTATTTCCATGCCTAGTTTACTCGATTTTGAGTCCAAATTTTATAATTTAAAAAAAAAAATTAATATCAAATAAGTCTTAAAATCTTAAAATTAATATTTGAAAACTCATATTTTTTTAAATTTAAAAAATCATGTTTTTTTTTGGGGCAAACAAAAGAATTATATTTTTAAATTCATTTTTTTAGTAGAACACCAAACGAACTCTTAATTTTCGATATGGATTTTACTGCCATAAAACAACCATGAGCTTTACATGTTCGAAATGTCATTTGAACACTATGCAACATTAAACAATCGCCGTAAAAAGAAAAGAGAAAAGCGATCGAAAAAGATGGATACGTGGCGACGTTTGGAGACACGACCATTGTACATTGGTTAATGTCCAAATGTCACTCGAAAGACATGGCCTTTATTGCATGCTACAGGAAGTTGAACGGCAGTGCTTTGAGCTCGAGAACAAGTGAGAAGAACCTTGTGAGGTTGAGAAAATTACAACCTTGGAGACGCTTGAGGTTGAAGAAGAAGAAGCAGCTTGGCCTACTTGCTACATAACTCCATAACTCCATTGCAAGAGAAAATCTGAAAAAACCCAACCCAAGGTATGGGAATAAGACCCTCATTCTCTCTTTCAATCTCGTCTCCTCTGTTCTAGGGTTTTCAGAAAATGAATCGTCTCTGCAGGGCTTAGGCTTAGCCATTAGGGTTTTCTGCTTTTCTGCTTTTTACCACTTGAAAGTGGCAGTGATTCCACCCACAATGCTTTCTCTGCTCTCCCCTGTTACTCTGTTTTAGGGTTTTGGAAACTAGGCACTAGGCTATTCTTTCTAATTTGCTTCAACTTTTCTTACTCTTTATTTTCTACCACCACGTCGTCTGTAACAAGTTTGGTCCTTTTACAGGAGAAGCAGCCCAACAATGGATAAGAAAGCTTTCAACTTGGAAGAATTAGAGTTGAAGCAGAGGAAGCTCGCCCTGCCATTGAAGGACCTTTTGGACTATTTTGATTCCTTCCGGAATGGGATCCTCACCAGATTGCAAGAGGTACAGGATCACGAGAAGCAAATGGGGGTCTTAGAGAACCAAGTGCAAGCAAAAGCCAACGAATTGCGTGGAATTGAGAGGTTGATTGAAGAGAAATTAAAAGAGGTCGAATCGGGCACGGAGCACTTGCGCTCTCTTCAGTTATTGATTAAAGAGCATAATGAAGAGATTTCTGTTAAGGAGAAGAGATTTTCGGATGTTCAGAGATGGGTTGGAGAGAAGGAGAAAGAGTATGATTCTATTGAAAAAAGTATTAATTGGGGAACAAGTAAATTGAATTGGTATGAGAAAACAGTGGAAGAGAAGTCAAAGTTGGTTGAGTCTAAGGAAAAGGAATTAAGAGAGGTTCAAAGACTTTTAAACAAGTACTCTGAGGACATTCAGTTGAAGGAGAGGCAATTAAATGAGATTTTGGGGTCAATTGAGAAGCAGAACAAAATATTTGCTTTGAAAGAAGAGAAAATTAAAGAAGCACGAAGATTGGTTGATGAATGTGACAAGGAGATGAAATTGAAAAAGGAGAAACTTGGATTGATTCAGAAATCGATAGTGGAATTCTCTAAGACAATCGAATCGAAACATAAAATAATTAGGGGAATGGATTTGAAAGTGAAATTTTTTTCTTTGCATAAGAAATCAATGGAGGAGTTGTTCTGTAAACTTGAATTGAAAGAGAAACAATTTGAGTCAAAAGTTGAGGAAATTAGTCTGATTGAAAAAGGGGTGACTGATTGCCTCAACGAGGTTCAGTTGAAAGAAAACCATTTAGATTCGCTTGAACAGTTGATACAAGAATGTGGGAAGCATTTGGATTCACAAGAAAAGTCATTACAAGAATGCTCCAATGGTCTTGAAAAGAAAGAGAGGAAACTGGAGCAATGGGCCAGAGAACTTGAATTGAAACAACAGCAAATCAATTCAATTCAAAAATCCACCGAAGAACACACCCAAACTCTGGAATATACCCATGCTAACATTGCTACTATTCCTTCTTCTGCAAGTAATCATTCTAGCATCAATAGGGATGGTAGATGCTTGTTGTTGCTCATGAATGAGAATTTGAAGAGAATTGCTTTATTGTCTAGCGAAATGTCTGCTCATCTTAAAGCATCATCAGACCCAGCAGAATTGGTTTTAAATGCAATGGAAGAGTTTTACCCTTCAAATTCGGCTGTGGACAAAATGAAGTTTGATTTTGATCTGACAGTTATTAGAAGGAGTTGTATTCTTCTGTTGCAGGAGTTAAAGAGGTTGTCACCGCAGATTAATCATCAGGTGAAAGAAAAAGCAATTAAGTTGGCAGCTGATTGGAAGGATAAGATGACAGTGGCGGCTGAGAATGTCTTGGAGGTTTTAGGTTTTTTGTGGCTTCTTACTGCGTTTGAGTTGACCTCTACTTATGATGAGAGGGAGCTTCAAAGTTTTCTTGCTGTAGTTACTCAACCGGAAGATGCAACTGACCTATCCCAGGCCCTTGGCATCACAAATAAGGCACCTGGTAAGCTCTTTTATATTTATTTTTCATAGTTATATCTGAGTTTCTTATTGGTATAATACTCTCTTGTTTCTGAATATATACACACCCACAATTATAGTACAATTCTCTAGAGTGCACTGTCCCAAACTTGATCTTCTAATTAAATTCTCAATGTTTGAAGAATCATATGGGTTATTTATCATGTTTGTTACCCTTGTTAAGTCAATAACTAGACATCTATAGTAGCACAAGTGGCACATAATCCTGTACATTTCTTTTGATATATTAAAGTTGAAATTATTCACTTACTAACCAGTGCATTTCCTTTTCTGTGTTTCTTTTTGCAATTGCATGGCAGGTAGCACCCTTTCATTCCCTGTTAAAACGGAGGAACCAGAATCCTCACAAGTCAGAAATGTAGCAACTTCTCCTTCTCCAAATTTTCAACCAAGCGCCACCACAGATGAAAGGAATTTGCAGGGGTGTATAAAAGAGCATTTAAGTGGAGATAATTTAGTACAAAACGAAATGTTTGATGCTCTACGAATGTCATTCAACCCAGAAAAACTTGTTTTGAACCTGATGAAAACATCTCTTGATCAATATTGGAAAAAAGGAGATGTTGGTTTTGAAGCAACTCTCATGAAGATCCACATTCCCCTGTTGAAGGAGCTGATGAAAGTCTTACCGCATGTTAGAGATCATGTGGAAGAAGATGCAATGGAGCTAGCAGTTCAGTGGAAAGAAAGACTGAGAGCTGATTCTGAAAATTCACTGGAGATTTTTTCTTTTCTGCAGTTTATAGCTACATATGGATTGCTTTCTTTCTTGAATGGAGATGAAATTGTAAAGCTTCTTGGCATGATTTCTCAGCATAAACAGGCCCTAGAATTACATCAAACACTTGGTTTTTCTGATAAGATCCCTGGTAAGTTTCTTGAAAATTGGCTTTCATAGTGTGATGTTTGTGTTCCACTACATTAATCTGCAGTTCACAATATTTTGGCTATTGGTGTTTGTAATTATGAGTATCCTAGATGCCATTCTTATGTACATACTGCTGGGGCAATAGCTTGGGGTTGGTATACTGCCTTAAGAAGTTAAAGGGCCGAATATTAGCAAATGGTGTGAACGTGATTGATAAACCTATGATAAACTTCATGAGTCGATATAGTTATGGAAATGTACAATGAGGTTATGTAAGATATTGTTTATTACAGACTGATCTTGTTGGAATATATTATATATTTTTAAGTGAACGTTTTATAACTGTGGTTCTGAAGCTCAGTAAATCTCCGCAAATTATCTTTTAATTGGTTTGATATTTAGTTTGACAGGACCAGTGTCCTCTTACATCACTGGCATTCTGTGTCCTCTATTTAATATTGTGGTCTGATTTCTTCTTTTCCACCCTACATATGTTTTCTCTTCTTTATGCTTTTTTTTTTTTTTTAGGACAAGCGATTGGGGGAGGGGGGTTTACACAAATATTCATTAGGTGCCTGGGGGTTTTTGAACTTCTGCCCGCATGGGTGGAGGTGGAAGAGCTCAACCAACTGAGCTATACCTCTAACATTAACCTCTTTACGTTTGCTTGGTGATACTGTGTAATTGTCCTTTTGAAACTTATCTGGAGCAGTTCGATCAATCCTGCAATTTTGTTTTACATGTTGCAGATTTTATTCAGAATCTTATTGAAAGGAAGCAACTGATTGAGGCTCTTAGATTTATTTGCACCTTCGAGGTAGTTCACAAGTTCCCGCCAGTACGACTCATAAAAGAATATGTGGAAGATGCAAGGAAGTCGTACTGGACAAAATGGATGGAAAAAAAATCACAAAATGAAAAGGTACATTTACTTTGGACATCAAATAACGCTTCTTAAATAGGTAAATCTAGGATCATTCTCAGTGTAAATATGCATCTATCAAGTCTTATTTTTCCTCACAGGATATTGTTGTAAAAGACCAAATAGCTGATCTTAGAGCTGTGATTCAATGCATCAAAGATTACAATCTTGAGTCTGAATACCCATCCAAGGACATCGAGTCAGAAATTCTTCAGCTGGGAAAACTAAAGGAGAGTTGGAGACCTTTACAGATATCTTTTACCTCCAAGTTGGGACAACGAGAACATGAAGAAAGGAAGAAGCGTAGTACTAGCACTTCTGCCCCCAAGTTTCAACCACCAGAGAAACGTCAAAATATAAGTCATCCGACACCTCTGGCAGCTATTCCTAGACCTTATGCATTGCCAACTTTCAACAGTGACTCGTCTCGGCTGTATGAAAACTATGGACACCCTGGGCGGTTTGTTATGGATGCCAATGACCATCAAATTGGTGCTAATGGTGCCATGCAGTTAAGTTCGTCATCTCTGCTGCATGAAACTGGTGCAGATAAGTTTGGCATGGTGGCCAGCAACCAAGAAACTGGTGCTAATTTTGGTGCAGTGGAGTTAAGTTCGTCATCTCGGCTGTATGAAAATTACAGACACCCTGCACAGTTTCATATGGCTGCCGCTGCCAACGAACATGAGACTGGTGCTAATTTTGGTGCCATGGGGTTAAGTTCATCATCTCTGCTGTATGAAACTTATGGACACCCTGCACAGTTTCGTATGGCTGCCGCCAACAACGTCCATGAAATCGGCACTAATTTTAGTGCCATGCAGAATGCCGGGCTACCTCACTCCCATCACTTGTTGCCCAACACTCATAGTTATGACCCTAATCAAATATAGTAGGAACGTTCCACACGCTTAAACTTTGAAGGACCAGTTTATATTGGATTGAATTCTGAAAATCCAGTCCCACTGTATAGTGCTGATTTTAGAGACCTTCAATTGCATCTATGGCACATCTTTTGGTAAGCATCCAGCCTGTTTTGTTTTATTTTTTGCATTACTTCCAGTAGGGGAAGTGTTTTGTTGCACAAAGTTCATACCTTTGGGTCGTCAAATGAAATGCTTTTTCCTAATTTGATGCTAAATTATAGGTTTTATTTACCTTGTGCAAAAGGCTGCCACAGTCCCGACCGATCTCTTGGACTACAGGGGTTCAAGAGATTTGTGGTCACTCACTGTTGGATGTAAATTCAACGGTTCACTCATTCTTGCACTCCTTTTAAGAAACTTTTTTGAACCGTTAGATTAACATCCAACGGTGGGTGATCACAATCTCTTGAACTCCTGTGGTCTAAGAGATCGAGACTAAAGACTGCCATACTATGAACTTTTTGTAGCTGTTAACTCAATACTAGAAATGATTTATTTCTCAAAATAAAAAGATGGGGGTGGTTATTTATTTATTTATTTTCACAAAGTGATATTCTAAACTACTCAAAGATCTCTAATATGCAACGTCTTGATCCACTGCTCTAATTCACTTCTACAAAAGATTATGGCTTATTAGACATCATCTTATTTATAAACAAAATAAATAAATTTGAAATTGTAATGGGGTGGTGTTTTGACTAGGAGGATGGTGCGAGGGAGATAGAAAAAGAGAGGGTGAGACAGAAGAGGGAGACAAAAGGGGAATGAGGGGAAGGGGATGAGGGGGAGAGTTGCAGAGTTGTAGCTTTCTTTTTTCTTTTCTTTATTTAAGTTTTTAAATTTTTTTAGATTTTAAATGTTAAACCATTTTTTAAAAAATAATTTTTTATTTAGATCAACGTTTCATTATCTGATTGGATATGTGGGCACCACATATGTGACATGTCATCAATTTAACAGAAATTTTGACAAAACCCAAATGGCATGACCAAATTAATATATGAAGTGTAACATAAAGGACCAATAATATCATATATATATAAATAAAAAAACATAAAGGACCAAAGGTGATAATTTCGCTAACCTCGAGACCATTTGTGATAAAAACCCTAGATAATAAAGCAGACTATCAAACTTATGAGACACCTATTTGTTGACTTCCAAATTATCAAATCAACATTTGAAGCTTTTAAAAAAACTTTTAGAACACTTCCACCCATTTGTCATAATAAAGGGCAAAAGGAGGTAAGAGCTGCTACTATTCATGTGAATAGTGTCAACCCTTTCAAAAGGCTTGTTGTGTTTCCACTCATTGCCATAGCAAATACTATTTACTTTTTTTTAATTAACTTAAACGATTAATTTGGATAAGATTTTCAGTTGCCACGTGTCAATATTTCTTATAAAATTCATATTTCAAATTTCAGATCAGATTCTCTGTTGTTAGATATTTATTATAAAATACAAATCTCATATTTTAGATAAGATTGTCATCCGCACACTCCCTTTCTCTTGCCTTCTCATCCACATATCTTTTCATATCTCTTTCAATTCTCATTGTGCGGTTAAGAGAAATTTGCTCCAAAATTTTTGCAATTTCATTGGTGGAATTACTCCATCTCTTAGTCTTTGTCGCCTTTCTCCTAATAGGTCTCGGCTCCCTTTGGATTGGTAAGTCTTGATTCATCAAGGAATCCAACGACGAATCTGATGTTGTTGAATCTTGAAGCGACGTCTCATTTAACATAACAGTCGGACCTGTATGAATAATTTTGAATCTCAAACAATTTTTCGTCACCTCCTAACATTAGTGATTGTTAAAAGATTTTTTGCCTTAGCTAATGGCATCAAACCACATTTGTGCTTGCATAATCTATAATAAATAAATAAATATTGGAAATGCAATAAAAAAAATTTAAAATAGGACATTAAATTTAGTAAAACGGCAATTACAAATAATTTACCTCATTGCCAAGATTTTCGCCACTTTGAACTTGTCCTTCGCTTTTGCCGACCCATCTCTCCATTTCCGTAACTCTTTATTCAAAATTTTATACCTACTAGCCAAAGCTATTTCCGTACTAGCCGAACCCGATCTTTCACAAAATTCGGCATGAATTTTTCTCCACATATGAGAGAACTTCATCTCATTGCCTATGATCGGGCAATGACCAACTTGGACCCAACATTCACACAACAAAATATCTTCCATGGTTGTCCATGACCCTCTAGCTTCAATGGAAGATGCTATTTGTATTTTTACACAAATGAAATTTGGAAAGTGAAGAAAATCTGGGGTGAAAAGTGAATAATATTGGAAGGATAAGAAAATGTATGAAGATTTTGTATGGAAAGTGAAGAATATTGGTAGGTATTCATAGAAAAAAAAAATCAGAATTTTGGTGGTGTTTGTTAAAAAAAAAAATCGATTTTTTTAACACAAAAATTAACAGCCGTTGGATTGGAGGAAAAATTATGATCGAAGACATCAGAATGCTACACGTGGCTTGTAGCCGTTGGCAAAAAGCAAGGCTAATGCCAGGCTGACTTCAGCGCTGACGTCATCGCCCCTCGGGCATGAGATCGGGCTTGTTTTGCCTTTAAACTTGCTCGGGTTGTAGAAGCCCCTTAGAACTGTGCTTGGGGCCTCAGGCCCCCACCTGCCCGGACCAACCCTTAGCGCTGGAAATGCCCTTAGGAGAGGGACCAACAAAATGGACAGACACAGACCACCCAATTTTGGTGTCGAGAAGTCCTTGTGTCGACAACACTGGGATTGAAGGGGGACTAGCGTTGGAGCCGGATTGAACTAAAATTCATAAGATCCTATTGTGGTCGTATCGTATGAGTTACGTAATTCAATTCATCAATCGAACCGAAGAATTTATTCTAATAATATAACACAACTAATAATAGTCTGATGTGAAGAATCGCCCTGTCTATATACAACCTTTTGTTCAGACCAAAAAAAAATATTATACAACCTTTTGTTTAACGCTACATGAATTGAGCTGACCCTACCAATAATCTCCTATGAAAGCAAAGCAACAAGTTGTACTTAGGTTTCAAATCAACACCATCCAAACCTAACTTTTTCTTTCAGAGAAGAGACGTGTATTTACTTGCCATCCAAAAGATCCATAATCCCAAGTGGTCCAACTAAAAAGCTATGGACTCTCATCAAATACAGGTAAGATTGAGCACCGTAAGTAAACATATGCATGAACCATTATCAGATTCATAATATATATAGATAACGACAATAAAAAATTGGAAAATATAATTGAGCAGCCACACCAAATCTTATAAGACTCGCGCTCGGGAAAGGACAAAACATTGGTTGCTTTGTCTCTGCCGATGAGCAAAGTTCAAAAGTTGGTTGGTTTAAATAAAAAGTTGGTGCATTCAAATTGCAAAGTGGTAAACTTTGTGGGTTTTGAAGCTTATGAGCTCCTCCTCCTTTCTGATATCCAAAGACCCTTTCTTTTTTACCATCCAGAGAAAAAGAAAATAGAGATTGAGGGTGGCTGTGGGGTGGGTTTGGGGGTTATAGCTTGCGGGTGGTAGGCATGGGGAAGAGGGAGAGCGCAGAGGGGAGAGAGAGAGTTTTATTTATTTTTTAAATTAAATTATTTTCTTATTTTTTTAATAAATATTTTATTCATATAATGTGGGACTCATCATGACAATGTATGTGATCATAAAAATTGATAAAATATGAACTAAACATGTCTTAAGGGGTAACACATGCACCTAACCCTCACCCACCAACCTCAGTCTCTCGCTCTCTCTCGCTCGCACGCATCAAAATCACTTGACTTCGCTGACATTAGTCGCCATCTTTGAAGCTCAAACCTCAAGCAATTGACGCACAATGACTCTCCTTAGCGGACCGGTAAAGATTCATTTTCTGCATTCAAGTTTTCTGTTTTCTCCGTTCACTCTGTTTTCTCTGTTTTCGTTTCCGTTTCTGAGAATCTGGGTTTTGAGGGCAGTGAGAATTGTTATAGCAATCTTAGTTTTTTCTGACACAAAATGGTAAAGAAACTCACCCTTTTGTTTGGCTACTAAGAAAATGGTGGGAAAGAAAGAAATAAGTTTCTCTGTTTTTTCATTGTTTTCTTTGCTTTCCCTTTTAACCAGAAGATTTTATTTTTGCCTCGTATTTTTTCGAAGCTTGACGTATTTTGTTTCTAGTTTTCTAAGAAAACTCAGGGGAAGAAATAGAATATGTTAGGTGTTTGAGCTTCATTCTATTTTCCTTTGCACTGATTTACAAAACCAGAGTGCTAAGTTCTCTGTTTTTTTTTCCTCAATAGTTGTTAGTTGAATGGCTTCCTGCTGTAAACTGTATGCTCATATTTCTTTATTTCATTGGGTGAACTTTTAGTCGGCTGTTTCGGATCTTCATACTACGAATGGAACTCGAAGAAATTCAACACTCATCTGTGCGCCAGTAATGGCGGAATCAGTTGATCAAATGCTGGTCCAAATGGGGAAGGCAAGGGAAGTTGGTGCTGACCTCGTTGAAATTCGATTGGACTTCTTGAAGAACTTCAGTCCAAGACAAGATCTCGAAATATTGATTAAACATTCTCCTTTGCCAACTCTTTTCACTTACAGGTAATTGTTGAACCCATTGTTTTATCACTTTAGTTAATGAAATCTTTTCACAAGATATAAAGCTAGTCATAATTCCAGAGTTTAAGAATTTGACTACAAATGCATGCCTTTTATGACTTGGGGATCAAATAATGTCTGCTGAGTCTCAAGTTATGCTATTCTAGTTGCTGAGAAGTCGCACTAGATTAAGTGATACGAGTAGTTTGATTGGTTTGTTTATGTTGTTTCGGCTGTCCAGATCTTCAATTGCTACTCTCACTTAGATTTCCATTTATCTCCTTCAAAGCATGCAGACATCATGTATTGGACTTGTTGATGTTTTTCCTATTTTTTTGACTTCATTTTGCATTGAATTGTCTCTATTAAGGGCAGTCCATCAATATTTCTTATGCATCATTTACCTTATAGGCCAGCATGGGAAGGTGGTCAATATAAAGGTGATGACAACAAGCGACAAGATGCACTGCGTCTAGCCA